AGTGTTTGGGGTCATACTGGTGTACTGACCTTGTTGGGGGAAGGCTTACTGAAACGTATACCTCAGACTTAGTCTCTGATCTCACTAATCAGGAGCTTTTGATAGCGGGGTGGAACTGTCTGCCGTCTAATCATATTGTTGTATCATTGGCAAGGCTACAGGCAACAGACGAGACCAAAAGAATTCAGGCAGATGAACACTTTGACCCCAAACCGTTCTCTCTATGAAGCAGGAGACCATTGTGCCAAGCTGGGAGCCCTGCTGTGCCTGCCAGAGACGTCCCACTTCCTGCACCTTCATGCAGAACAACCAGTAACCAGAACGCGTTGCAAGACCTCATGATCTCCCCTAGAAGGCTCGTTTTGTTGTCACCAATTAGCCAGTGGTGATGGGAAGCCAGGCTTGGCTCCCACCCCCGTTATGGGGGATGGCAGTGCTGCCCACAGGGTGCCTGGGCTGGGCAGCGTGGCTGGAGAGGCCTCGCCATGGCTCTCCTTGGGGAGGAGCACAGGTCCTGATTCTGCACCAAAGTCAGGTAATTTGGGTGGCCTCCTGTCCCTCCCTCCTGGAAATGTATTTGAAAAAAATGTATTTGAAAAAAAATGTATTTGAAAAAAATGGCAGCATGTGTTTTCTCATTTGCTGGAGTCAATAACCCAGTGAACATGACGCACAAATTAATCACATGCCATTGAAGAGAGATGATGGGAATCGCCCTGAGAAAAGGCAGCATTCAGCAGCACGGTGTAAGGGATCAATATGTCTCTCTCATAAAAAGTAATAAAAGCATATGAAAGATGACAGGTTAGTCACAAGAAAGCAAAGAATGCAGTTTCAAAGCCAGACAAATAGTATTTGACCCAAACCTTCCAATTAACATCATGCCAAGAGAGTTCTAATGGGAAATTAGGTCTGTGCTTGAGAAGGCATGGCTGAGGACCTGACCTGTGGAGAAGATATTAGAGAGACAGCAGCAATATTTTTAGCAGTGTAGAGAGAAGAGAAAACAGAACATGCAGCTGGAATGTATACTGAGGGCTGGCCAAGCTTTGGGTATGTCCTGCAGAGCAGTCGCACCACCCAGAGCTATGGGTCTCCAAAGATGAGGAGGTCTTGGTTTATCTCTGCTGCCCAACACAGCTTTGGGGCACATTTAAAGCATGGGCTCTCAGGGTGTTATGAGTTGCCTTCACTTTCTTGCTATGAGACTCCAACACACGACTTCAGACAGGAAATCCAAATGAATTAGTATTCAAGGTTAATGATTTATTTCAAAAGAGTTTATTAGTAATCAAGAAACCAAATGAGGACAATGGATTAAGAGTGGAAGTGGTGAAATGGTTCTCCTAATTAAGTAAGGTGATGCCTCAGGGGGTTCAGGCAGTAGGTGAACTGAGCCCAGCTTCTCTTTCCTGATCATCTCTGGCATATTTGACTGAGTGAAATGTCCATTCACAAAACTGAGTATATTTTTGGTGATATTAATATCTGTCCAAGAAAAGAGATTTCCTTGGCCAGTTGCCTTATGTCTTGCACTGAGGCAAACGCAGAAAATCTGTCACATGCCCTTTGAGATGAGAAGGGACATGTTTCCTTGGCAAACCTCCCCACTGTGTCTGTGCAGCTGCCCTCAGCATGACGGGCTGCATCACATTGAACTGCGGTGCACAAAGCCCAGCTGCAGAAGCTGCCCCCGCCCTCCCAGCTGACGTTCACACTGCTTCCCTTCTCCTGCAGCTCTCTCCTTTTCCTCTGTGGCAGGGAAAGGGAAATCTCTCATGTTCTCTCCTCCCACCTTCCACCTGCTCAGTCATACCTGCTCATGCCCTCTCTGATCTCCCATTTTGCTTTTGTTGCTCTTTTGCCATCCCCCTTTGCTCCTCACACTTGTTTTTTGTTTGTTTGTTTGTTTGTTTTACACCACAAAAATAACATGCTTATAACATGCTTTAATCCCTCTCATTCTAAAAATAATCCCATCCCCAATCCCATTTACCTTTCCAGCAATAATTCATCCTTCCTTTATCTGGAAACTAATTTACCAAGCTATACTGACTACCTTTCAGCCATTGCATACTAGACAATTACCAAATGCTTGAAGACTTTTCCCCCACCCATTCCCCATTGGTTCAATTCCCCTAAAAGAGAGCAACATGGAGAGGGATGGAGTCCTCTCACAAAAGCGCCAGCTGAGTGATCAGTCTGCCAGCATGTAGGAATGGACAAGCTGTTGACTCCCTGCTGGCCCACCCCTCTGCTGTATTTGTTAACAAGTAATAATCAAGCTCAGCACTGTTTATACCATCAGTTATTTCCATCTCCTTCTCACTGTCTTCTATACCCAGCCCTGTACTCCATTTGTACAGATGTCTGCATGTGTCTAGATCAAGCTAATGTAGTGAATTTTCATCTTGCAGTTGGCTACCAGAGCACATTGCTTCCTGTTTGCCCTAAAGTCTCCATTCTGTTTTATCTGCATGCTTTGATCTCTTATAACTTTCACACCTATGCTAAAAAGGGCTTAAATGCTTTGGTGCTAACTCACATCAGCCACACAACTGAAACAGGTCACACTGAAATCTCTAAAAAAAATAAATAAAAAAAAGCAACCAAAAAAAAATTCCTCTCAGGTGAATCTGAGCTCCGTCTGCTACACACCTTCAGTTAACACTGATCGTGAAACTAAAAGCCAAATTAATAGATTAAGCTTTTATTAATATTATTATTTTATTTAAGTATAAATAAGAAAGACATGTACCACTCATTGTTTGGAACATTGTTGATGCCTTCTATGTCTGATTGCAATTAGACGTGTTATTCCAAAATGAATCTGATTTAACCAGCAGTTACAAGGGAAAAATCAAGCTCATAAGTCAGTTTCCTGAGTCAGAGGAAAAATTGTTCTGCTAAGAAGAAAAAGGATTAGCAGGAGCCTCCTATCATTTGCTTATTTAAGCATTTACTGACTCTCAGAAGTGTTTAGCGGTTTAATCCAATACTCTAACAGGAGACTGGGGGCCATTTCCCTCATCCCTTCCAGTTTCAGCCTCCATCTGCTCCTCAGGCCTTCAAGAGCCCTTTGCACTGGGCAAAACCCATCTCTGTTAAACTGTTCCAGGTGCTTCAGGCAAGAACTGAGAAAATTGGGGATTCCTGCTTTTTGGATGAAGTAGGGGAGAAATCCCAGTGGAACTTTTGGGTGGACTTGACAATAACCAGACCTGGCAGCAAGAAATTTCTCCTGCAAAAGCTTCAGTTTACTACAGTCTGGTGAGTCACATCAGATTCGGAGAACGAGGAATTTCCCAAGTGTATGTCTGACATCTTCAGTAGAATGGAGGGATGATATCAATATATATATATTTTTGCCAGATATGCAAATAATTTCTGAAGCTCTAAATTGCTGCTGCTTGTGGACAATCACTAAAATTTTCACTCTTAAACCAGCTGTTGTGAATAACTTCCTTGCTGAGCCATATGGCATAATTCTTATTTCATTTTGAAATGTGGTGATTTTATATTTATTTATCTATTTATTTATTTATTTATTTATTTAACTCTATTAAGCAACAGAAGGAAAGCTTCATTGCCTTATCTCCCATGTTTTTGTTTCTCTATATGTGCACCTCTATGGAGCAACAGCACAGTTTCAACTAATGTGGGGTCCTATCAGGGTACTGGCCCCTTCCAGCTTCACATGAGTGGTGCCAGGAAAGTCAATACTGCTGAGCGATACGTGTTGTGGTGGTACGGGGCACTGGCTAAATCTTTCTCTTCTTACACCCATTAATTAAGCTAATGCCATGTCTGAAGATACAATGTGTAGTGTTTAAAGAAGCCTTAAGAGAAAACTAAACTATGTTAGGCCCTTGGCATGAAAGGGTGTGCATCCAAGGAATGTTCCTAACAAACCAAAATTTCTAAAACACTACAGTACTGAAGACGTAACAGACCCCCTAGCTATGTTACATGCAATGGTCATTACTGGAAAAGCAGCAGGAGCAAAGCAAGGTAAGGGAGCCATCTGCCCTGTTAGTTGGTGTCAGCAAGGAAGCTGATTTGTGTGTGAATGAGAAATACAGGCTGGTTCACACAGACAGGAGCACTGGTAAGCCAAACATCTGGGGTGCTTTTACCTTCGGTGATGATAAAAACAAATAACATGGTTCACCAAGGAAAGGCAGGGAACTTACAACCCCAGAGCTTCTCTGGAAGTCTGGTAATTGCCTTTGGTCACCTGCAGAGACTGCTGGGATCCATGGAGCTACAGACAGGGTAATCAAATGAGAAAGGCACATCACAGCTTTGGGCACACACCCAAACTTTCACAATGTTCCTAGGTAAATTAGAGCAAAAATGCACACTTCTGGGCTAAAGGCTGGTGAACTGTTTTGCACTGAAAATTGCTCTCCCAGAGAGGAGTCCAACCCTTGGAAACAAAGTGTATAATTAAAATGCTTAAACAACCATTACAACAGAGGTGTGAACATGCTCCTATAATTATACAGCTGTTTGTTCATTAAAGAAGAAATTTAATGCAATTATAATATTTACAATTCTGCACATTAAAAAAAAAAAAAAGAGAGAGAGAGAGAGAAAAATAGAGTTTTCAGCAAAAAAAGCAGACTGTGCTGTCTCCTCTCCAAATTGGCCTTTAGATATCAGGGCTTACAGAAAACTTTTACAAGGGGCAATCTACTCAGCAAGTTACCGGATTTTTCCTTGTTTGAATGATGTAATTCAGAGTTAAGAACAGAGCCGATGACTGAAGGGTCCCTGATAACCTTTAAGATAACAGATTTGTCCCAGCCATACAATTCAAACTTCTTGTGGACAAGAGACTAGAGGGTAAAGGAGCCTAAGATAGTGTCCTGTAAAAGGGGAACTGGAGACATACCAGCCTGCTGTGTCTGAGCCCTTTTCCAGACCAGCACACAGCTGAGTGTAATGATGAGTGCAACAGATGAGTGCTGCTCAAGCTCTCACTCTTTTGCCTGCTCCCCAAAGGCTGGCACCCTGAAATCAAAGAACTTTGCTCCTCTCTTCCCATGAAAACATGAGCAGAACAGCCCCCAGGACTGTGCGCTACCAGGAGGTTAGACCAAGAGTGCAAAGTACAGGTACAGACTAGAGCAGACAAAAACGATGCAAACTGTGAGTAGCAGAGAATAGAGAGGCACTGCAAGAGTGCTCCCCTCTTGAATGCAGCTGCAATTTTGCTGAAGGCACAGCAGTTGGAGTAGGATAGCCTAGCCACTCGTTCATACAAGATTTGACCTCGCTACAATTTATTTTACAGAGTGTTAAGCTACAAGATTTTGTAGAGGTGGAGTAGGGAAGGGTTTCCACACAGGACAGAGACTATCTGATGTTTATGCTCATCATGGTTATTAGCTCAATTTGAGGATAAGAAACATAACTGTGATCTACTAGTGATGCAGATGTCACATGCTGCTCAGTGTTATCACCAGTGTGAGAACTAAGCAGAGTGAGGAATTGATCCTGCACAGCTGGGAAAATTCCTTCTGTCAGGGAAGGAAAGAAGATAATGAAGACTCAGGCAGGGTTAACATAGCTGATTAGAGGGGTTTAGGTTTAATGCGTAACACCACTTTTGAAGCAGATGGCTGAACCATGCTGTAATTTACCAAGCTGGCTTAAAGGCAAGAGAGGAAAAGGGGCTTCTTGGGTGCTTCTCCTTCATTTCGCACATTTTACACGTCTCTTGATATCAGACATCATCTAGGAGGTGCCAATAATGAGAAAGTATGAGAAAGTATGCTTAGATAGAGAACATATTAAATGTAATTGGCATAGGTGAAGAGACAGAGAAATGTGCCTAAGTCATCAGTACTAGCCACCAGTCCTTTTTTTAAGGGTGTGGATTGGTATAAACTAAACTATTAGCTAGAAACTGCAGGGCAAAATAAGGAAAAGCTGGGGCAGCTATGGTGTTTAACTTTGTTCTAATAGTAGTTACTAATGGAAAAGTGAAATTAATTGCACAATGAAGGTTGTATTTGACTTAGATGAAGTGCGTGTAGCTAAAGTGTCTCTAGTACATCATTCAGACCTGAGCATATAGCAACAGGAAATCAATTAATCTCCACCAACATTTGTTCTTTCTAGTGTGAAATGGTTTTAATTAACTTATTGTGAGTGGTCAGTCACTGCTCACTCTGGAAGGACCTCACAGACTTAATGAAGCACCATTCTTTCTAAATTTGTGTTGGAAAAGTGACAATGACAAATTTTGAAGCTGAATCACTTGGCATATGTGATCAATTAATGGAATACCTTCCTCATCCCATTTATTTAACTCCTGTCTGGTTATTTTTCCCAATTAGGCAGTAATCTTGTGGCTTAGGCTATGAGTCTAGGAGCAAGCATACCATTGTCACTTGACAAAAAGCAATTTGTACACAGGAGAATTGCTTTAGCAGAGGTCATAGCCATCTAATATTCATTTGGTACTTTCTATAGTCATTGAAGAGTTTGAAATGAATAAAAAATATGCAGAGCTCAGGGCAGGTCATTCACTGAAGACAAAATGGGATAGCAGATTGCCCAGTGTTATTTCTCTTAGCTCAGTAGAGAAGCTGTGCACTGGGTATGTGATGGGTGTCCCTGTCAGCTGCAAAAAAAAACACTTTTTTTTTTTTCCAGGCAGAAGTCAGCATATGGAAAGGAAAATTGAAGTGAAGTGCATGGAGTCTCAATTAAAAAACAACAAACAAACAAAACACACACACACACAAAAACCAAGTAAACAAACAAAACAAAAAAATTAAAACCCCTGAAATGCCACAGCCATGGGGCCAGATCTGTTGGACACTATTTGAAGCTTCATACTAACACGAGCAATTGCAGCCATAGACCACCTGGGCAAAGAGCGAAGCTGCTCCTGACTGCACTTGTTTTCTCTGGCATCACTTTTCTCAAGTATTTCCAAATACCACTGAGTTTTGTGGTCTCATACAGATATGACTTCGGTACCTAAACAGAAGACAAGTCCAGCTCTGGCTTGTTGCACCACAGCCCACAACAAAATGGCTGTGGAAGAGACCTGTGGGGAAGGAAGAGAAGGTAAGCTTGTCCTCTTAATTTTGCAATTATAAGATGCCAGTAAAGCCTCAGTGCTCTACTAGGCAATGGAGCTGCCAAACACACCAGAGCTAGCATCTGCTTGAGAGACCTGCCCTGGGACATATGGGCATGACATCAGTAAGTTAGTGAGCAGAGAAGAGGGGATTACTTTGGAACACCTGTTCCACACTAAGACCTTTCCATTTTACCAGTTCTCATTGCTTTTGGTTGCATCACCTGCAGGAGTTGCCTTGTTTCCACCTGAGCCGAAGTCTTACCACAGTGAAAGATGATAGGACTCTAATTTATAAACACGTAAACCATTTCACCAAAGCTGGCATAAACAGAGTGATGATGACACACACAGATTAGAAAGAGAGCCCAAGCAGTTGGGTGCCAGGCTGTTCTCTAGGAGGAGTCATGGATATTGTCATTGGTGGGCAGCTCTGCCTGAACCCTCCTGGAGCACTAGGCAGAGATTACTCACAAGTGCTAATTGGAGGCCACAGTTACAACAGCTAAAGCCTGGGGATTCAGAAATTAGGTGGCTTTTCTGAGCAGGAGCTCAGATAATCACCACCATGATGTTGACACTAGGAGTGCCACAGAGCCTCCCCAGCTCAGGGAGAGGCAGGTATGCCTGGAGCTTTTTTTGTGCCTTTCTAGTGATACCTCTCTCTCTCCTTCAGAAAAATGTAATAGTCCAAGCCTGAACTGACAAGGTCCTTCAGCCTTATCTTCCATGAGTTATTACTGTTCGGGACATCTGTGCCGGGAGAACAAACTTCTGGATAATTCAGCCCCAAACAGTTAAAAGCTGTTCCCTAGCTCCCAGGCTGCCTTCCCCCAAGGTAAGCTGATATTTCCAAGTATTTATGGTTAGAGAACCAAAGAAAATGATCTGGGTTCTTCATGCAAGAGGAAGCTATCAGAAGAGATAGGAAAAGCTGTAGCAATACAGAACAAAATGCATTAACCTTTCCAAGAGAGAACTTAGCACTGGCAAAATCAAAAATACCACAAATGTAGGAATATTTTTATGAAAAATTAATGCTGTGGTTTTCTGTAGCGACTTGTTCTGAGGATGATATCTGTACGTGATGCAAAGTTAAAGACCTTAACCTGTTGATTCATACAAGTAACAGGAAGGATAGTAAGTAGTTAAACACTTTATAAAGATAACATGGGAAGAAAATGCAGACTTTTTTTTTTTTTTAAAAAAAAAGCTTGCCTAAAGGTTAATTATAATTATAAAGCAATTTTTTATTTATTTATTTATTTATATTTTTTTTGTGCATAAATAAAAAGATGTTTAGTGACAAACACTAAGTATTAGTACTGTGGACATAATATGGGGATAGGGAAGGAGCAAAGCAGAGCTTCAATTCTCAGCAGATTTTATTACTGTGGGACACAGGGAGTGCTGGAGAAGACAAGGGGTGGGAGAGGGTCATGGGTGCTCAGGTGGCAGAAGCTGAGGCTGAGGCTGCCATCCCGGGGGGCTTCCTAGTTCTGTGGCCCCATGCCCCTCTCCCAGTCTGTGCCCTGGCACCCTGGGCTCAGCAGCGAGGTGGGAAGTTGAGCTCAGCACCTACAAGTTGCTCTGCCAGCGGGGTCGAGGGCACAGTGGCACAGGAGCACAGGGCAGCTGGGCTGCTTCCCCGAAGGGCTCGTGATGGTGAATGGAGCCCAGTCCCAGCAAGGCGTGGTGCTGCTATGGTGAGCACACACTGAAAATTATGGGACATCTATTCACCTTTGTCACACCTCAGATTTCCTTCTTCTCATAAAAAAATAATTGTATTTGCCGTTGCTTATTTGCATGTTCATTTAAAAGTTTTAATCAAACGACTAAGAATGACTTTCATCCATTTTGGTAGCTGCCATATTTCATCTTCAAATGCAACGTTCTTGTATAGTAACAACTGCAAATCCTGTAATATTCTTACATCCCTATTTTCTACAGATGTATACAACCAAGGAGGATAGAGGTCAGGAAAGCATCACTGCTCTCTGACCTGAAGCTGACATTACCCTCACCATGGTGCTGCCAGGTTTGTTGTCCCATAGTTTGTGCCAGCTATGGCCTCCTGGATCATCTGCTCAGAGCATGGCTCACAGCCTTCTGCTCCTGGACACATAACCTGTGCTTCTCACACGTCTTTCTCTGTACGCGCCCTTACTGCAACTATCTGTGCAAATTCTTTGTGGCCATAATTATATTCTCAGTTTCTCTCTTTAAGCTGCCTTTGACAAGTCATTTATATTTTGCCGGCTTTCATGAGCTTTTATAGAAAAAGAAAGTTGGCAGGCAATTCTCTGCTATCCTACATGTCTCTTGTTGTCTGTCTGATGATTGATTTCCAGTGGGAGTAAGTTTTGATATTTGAAAAGATACAGACTATTATTCTTGAACATTTAAGTTGTGTAATGGAAGTATCTGTCTGACAAACCCAGAAGGGTATCTGTGCAAAGAGTTCAAAGGCTTAAGGAAATTCTGGATCATGTATAAACCATTGTCCAATGCCTCGTTTCTCACATCAGACAGATAATGGAGAGAAGACAACAGAAGAGTATAGCTAAGGTAAGGAAAAAAGGGGTAAAATTGAATATTTCAAAAAAAGTTAGGAGAAATACTAAATTTTGTAAGACAAAAATACAACAGAAATGTGGGTGAAAAGGACCGATCCTGACCTATATAACCACGCAAGATCCCTACTGACAGAGAGTAAAAATGATGCTTCTGATCTGCAACTGGCATCAAAACGTTGGGCAAACAGAATTGGTTAAATACCACTGAAAAGTGGGTAAAAAGAAATCACACAAAAACCAGTGGAGTCTGGGAACTCACCTTAGACATGTTGGCATCTCAGTTTGTACGCAGCCTGGGCTCAAGCTGAGGTTCGAGGATGGACAAACCAAGCTACCCCCCACCTGAGGACTGGACATTGGTGATTAACTTAGGGACAGAGCTCTGCCATGAGAAATGTTAAGCATGGAGCTGCTCATTGTCAGCAGAAAGCAGATTGCAGGAGCATGCTCCGAGGTGCACTGCTGGAATCCTTGGCTCTGGCTCAGGAGCTCTGTGCCCAGGTCTTGCACATGGAAGCTTGTTTTTCCTGAAAAACACACAAAGGTTACTGCCTTGGTCATGGAAGCCTCCCTCCATACCTCATAACCTGAGTCAAGTAAGCAGTTGGGCTAATATAATGCTCACTTTATGAAATATATATGGTTGAGGGTAAAGCACAAGGGATGATTTGAGTTTATGCTGTACCCTCCCTAAACAGCAAAATGTGTCTGGTTTCTTGAGTGGTGTCTCCCTTTTGGAGCCACGTGGACAAACATTTTCTCTCTCATTGAGCTGAAGAAAGGACAACATCCTTGTCTCAAATGTGCAGCAAAGTACTACTCATACGTGCAGGGAGACATCATTGCAGACAGGCAAACTGTGCTTCCCCTGTGCAAAATTAATCATGAAGTCTTGTTTTCACTTGTGATACTGGTGCTCTGTGCAGTGTTGTCACTGTGGTGGCAAAGCAGTGAGTGGGACCGTAACTGTGCATGAGGGACCTAGGCAGTGGTGCCCTGAAACAGGAGACAATCAGCGATACTAGAAATTACCTTGTTTTGTGTTTTTGAGGGAGAGATGGACAGCACGTGCTGTACTCCTGAAGTACTGTTCCCAGTCTGTACCTGTTACTGTTTCTTGTGCAGCAAGGTCTGCCTTCCCCCTTTTGTGAGGTGAGCACACAGGCAGTGCTCATCGGGAGGGCAAAGCCTTGCTTCTGGGTGCAGCTCGGTTCTCCTTGTTGTGAGACTTGCAGGCAGAAAACCCCATGCCAGGTTCTGGAGGCTGATGTTTCCTGTCACAGCACTCACAGCTGCTGCATGCTGTACTAGGAAAAAACTTAGGGTGATGTCCAAGAAAATGCAAATTTTACCATTGCTTCTGGCAGGCTGGCAGATAGTTTTTCACCATTGCTACTTCTGCTCGCATTTTCTCCTCCCAGGTGTTTGTTTCACATCCTCTTTCCCAGCCTCTGAGGCACAGCTCTGCCCATCTGTCCCACCCAGACCAGGTGAGGATGAGCATCCCATGCTCGCTACAAATATATATAAATATATATTTTAGCTGAAAATAATGTATTTAATTAAAATATATACAAAATGTATGTATTATGCAGTTCATATCTATTCGATACTTGTTATAATTTACACCAGGAAAACTGATTTTTTCAGTCAATCTAGTATTTATCTACAAAAGCAAGCAGGAGTTTTTCGGGAAATGAGTCAGGCAGAAAAGCGTTTCCTAGAAATGCAGCTCAGCCCCACTCCTGCCTTGCAGCACTTGGCCTCGCAGTCGTGCCCGTGCTAATAGAGCAGTGAACACGTCTGCTGCTACTCCCATCAGCCCACAGCTGTCTTGAGATGGAGGAGGGCGAGCAGGACTGGCTCCTGCAGCAAGGTGCTGCATGCACAGGGTGTGCACACCTCTCCTGGGGAGCTGGCACCAAAAGACCAGAGCCAGGCCGCCACGTGCACCTTGCAAACAGCACAAGGGTGTGTGTCATGGGCTTCAGCTACCAAGAGTTTTTCCAGTTTTTCCATGGGAAGATGACTTTGATCCCTGTAACAGGAGCTCAGTAACTAAATGATTTCCTGGCTTGTGCTACTGCTGTTTGCCTGAGGGCAGTCTTTGGGCTGTATGCTGTGCTATAAATGCATGGGGATGGATCTCCATTTCTGCTGCAGGTTCAGGCCCACCCATGTCCACCCTGACCTGTAGGCATGGGTGCTTTGCAGAGGCTGTCAGCTCTTCCAGGTATGGGTTTCTGCAGCTCAGTATGACAGGGTGGGCTGCCTGATCCTGGAAATGGTGTGATGGGCACGGCTGGGGAGACCTCTGGCCTTGCACATGGTGTGAAAGGTACAGTGTTGCCATGAGCAGATGAACTGTTCTTGTTTCATGCTTCAAGGGACCCTGTGACTGAGCATTAAATTATAATGAACTAGATATTAGCTATCTTGGGAAATCACTCTGTAATTTGTTTGGAGATGTAAATAGCACATACAAACCTTACAAACAGCATATTAAGCAATTAGAAGATAAGAGGCTTTTTGGGTTCCCATCTGTATCAGTTCAGTGAAAAAAAACCTGGTGTAACCTGGTGTAATCTATCTTGGGGCACTTTGTGAAAAAGGGGTCTCTCTTTCTGAACTTTGTACCATCATACCCAAGCATGTGTTTCCTTTGCTTATCTGCTTAGAGCAGTGTATTATTTCTAGGGGCTATTACTCTTCACTGCATGCTAGTACATCTCATCAAATAATTGAATTCATTAATTTTATTTATTTATTTATTTATTGTAAATTCTTTTTGCAAGAGTATTTGTCTACGGTAATATCAGAGTGAGCTGTTATTCACCTGCAAAGGGAGAGGTTTGTTTCTCTGGCACCAGACAGCTAGACAGGAATCTGTCAGTCCAACCAGGTGGCAGCATTACACTGCCTGTCCCAATTGTTCTCCCACATGAAGGTGCGAGGAGGGAAAGAGTCACCCAAGTAGGGATTTGTTGTGCCTCATATACCTCCTGCTAGTTTTGTCCTTGCTGGAAGAGCACAGGACCCAAGCTGTGCCCGTATATCCTCGTGGCCAAGGCACTCTGCTCATGCTTGGGTACCTGGTGGCATTTAATTTGGGCCTGTGTCCTGCTGTGTGACAGTGTGGGCACTGCCCGCAGCCAGCTGTGCCTGCCTGTTCCCACCACGGCTGGGTGCCTGCTGGTGGGGATGGCCCAGCCTGTGGGGTTTGGTGCTCCCCAAGCACCCGCTGAGGACCCCCCATCCCTTTGGACCTCATGCCCCTGCACTGGCCATCCCTGCTGAACCTGCACAGCCCATTTGTCTGGGCAGCCAGCTCCTGTTGAAAGTCATTTAAATGCCTGGCACAGCTGGCTTATTTTCTCTTTTTAAAATGCTTACATTTTAAATGATTCTCAGATTTAACATATTGTTAAACCAAAGCTACTTGTTCTCAGCTCTACTTAAGCATATTAACTTTTTCTTCTTTCTAATACTGAGCAGAATTTGGGAGATGGTACCTCCGTTCTTAGCACAGTGCCACTTAAGGCTGGGTCACCTCCAGGTACTTGGTGGGAGGTATTCTCCTCTTCCTGGTAAGAGTACATGTGGTCAAAATATTTTATTACTTTTAAGTTTTCTCTCTTTGCTTTTATAGCCTTTGAGGTCCAAAATCCCCTGCTGATCTCATCACACTTGCTCCTCTTCAGCTACCTCTTACTGCTGGGGCTCTCCAGCACTGCAATGTGTGCACTTGTCCATGGGTGTGTGGGGGTGCACGCATACGTAACGAAACAGAGGGATGATTTGCCAGCAATGCATGTTTGTTGAGATCAGCTGCCGACAACTAAAAAGGATCAGGGGAACTAATTATGCTCCAATGTTGTAATTGTACAACAATTCAAAGTAATGGTATGAGAGTTGACTCCTAGTAATCATTCTTGACTCAGGAGTGGATGAGGTAAAACAAAGACTTTGAGAATGAGGCAGTGGCACAACTGCTAAGGCTCAGACAGGAGATCTGGGAAAATCATTGTCACAGCAAGCTAGACGGGGAGCTGATCATCTCTGTTGCCATTGGTCTTTGTAAATATGGCATGTTGCAATTTTAAATCATACCACCACTGTTGCTTTTGGAGGAGGATTTAGGTTTGAGGTTGTGCTTGCTGTGGCTCCATGTGGTTAACACACTCCCCTGTGGTTAATACACCACCCCTCTGTGGTTTTAACACTGTGATTTTCTAAGAGCAGTTTGCCTGGGGCAGGAGCAGTGGTGAACAGCCACCAGGGAGAGGGCAGCTCCTGCTGGAGCTGGGCCGTGGAAGGCAGGGGTATGGGGACATGTCCCCTACACATCCCTCCCCCAGGGAGCTGCTCCCAGAGCCATGGCACCCTGCCATCGGCAGCATGCAGAGTGACTCTGCCCCCATGTACTTGGTATTTATAACTGTGCGAAAGAGCAAAATATGTCCACATCAGAATGTGCATTTCCCTCTGTGTCTGGAAAAGAACAACATAAGACCTTTTCATGGAAATTAAGGCTTCATCCCTCAATTGCACCAATGCCTTAACTGCTCAGCATTTGTGCGGAGAAATGGCAAGAAATTGTGTGGAGTTGATAGCAAAGCTGTCATGCCCATTAACACGTTGCATGCTTAATGCAGACAAACATGCTCTGCGGTGGAGCAGCCTGGTAACCTGTGACAGGAAACTGGGGTGGGAGGAAAAAAAGAAAATCTGAGGAACAACTGCATTGTGCATCTATGGGCTTGGCAGAGTTGGGACGCTTCCTGGGTCAAGTTGTCTGCAAATTACACAGCACATACTGTTATTTTTGCCTTATTGACAGCCTGAATAATGCAGCACTAGAGCCACAGGAAACTCTTTAGAAGGGTTCGTGCTGTGTTTAGGAAGCAGAAAATACTTTTCTTTCCAGAATGACCTGAGATAGACTGTCCATCCATCTCTTCACAGCAGGGGGTCTCTAACTGAGGCTGGTGCCCTCACTTCTCTGTTTCTATCCCCACTTCCTCTCTGTCCCCCCAAGTCCCACCTCCACAGGGCAGGCAGCCCCATGGCTGCACCCATGTCCACGGCTGCTCCAGGCAGGTAGAGCTCTCTGGAAATCCCTGGGTGACAGCAGAGCCAAGAGGGCTGCTCTTACTGCTGCTGGCACCAGCTCTGGTTGCTTCTTGGGTTTGGTGATGTGCACTGCAGCCCTTTTGTTTTGCAGGGGGCATCAATGCACCCTGGCCCCTCAGCTCCATATTTTTCACCAGTGCTGTTAAGGTGCAATCTCAAGCCTGGAAGGAATCACAGAAATGTTTTCTTGATCAGACAAGAAAACATTCTGTGGGTGATGTGTAGCTGCTCCTTGGAAACCTGGAGAGAGCTCTGCTTGGAGCACCTCCATCTGCACTTCTGAGGTTGCCTTATTCTGGGGGGAGCTGATTTTTTTTTGGAGGGAGAAAACTTGCTGCCAGATAACTGTTACTGACAGAATTTGAACCTTTACATTGGTTGAAGGGTCTGAAGCACCCCAGAGGAAGCTGGTGGGTGATGAGGTGGCTGCAGGCCACGGGAGCCCTGCGTAGCCCATTGGCTCCAGATGGACCAGCTCCCCCCCTGCAGAGCCTTCTGCTTGCACATCGCTGCTTCTGCACGGGGCAGGGATGGGACTGTGTGCTTCACCTCTGTGCCTGAGTGTGGTGGGGCTGGAGTGGAAAAACGGCCTCATTTTTATTTTATTAAGGCACTTTCTGTCAAATGGCAAACCAAACAAGAGGCATTTGGATAATGCCCTTGATAAAATGCTTTAACTTTTGGTTAGCCCTGAAGTGGTCAGGCAGTTGGACTTGAACTTTGTAGGCCCTTTCCAAATGAACTATTCTAATTCTGAAACAACAGTCTTTTGGCTCACCAGCATTAGTCTGCCATACAGGTACATTCCTTCTTGGTGTGTCACTCGAGCTGCTATATGAAATACTAAGTACTGAAGAACATTGAAGTCTCCTCTCAGCAAGGCAGTTCTGTTCTCTCTCACTTCTCTCTTCTGCAGGAGCTTACTGTGTCCTTGCTTTTAAGAGGGAGAGTGACAGATCCACTATTAGAACCAATATTAACTCAAACATACAATGAAAATAAAAGTGTTTTCTTCCCTGGATTTCTGCAACACCAAATTCTCCTTGGGGCATATAAAATGCACACACAGTGCTGCACATGCAGTGCTCAGCTACAAGCCTATGGGGCTTAAAGTCACCTTTGGCAAAAATCTAAATATCAAAACAAAATATTTTCTAATAAAAATATATATTAGAAAATGATAACCTCTTATAGTATTCCTCTGAAAAAGTAAAACTTGAGTAGAAGTAGTAAGAAGAATGTTTCAAAACTGGACATCTGGATTGTTTCAAGTTCTACCTACTGACTTGCAAGGCAGCTGTGTGCCTTGCATAAATTCACATTGACAAGATAAAAAAAAAAAAAAAACAAAAAAAACAGGAGAAGATTGAGACTGTATCAGATTTCCATTTTAATTAGTCGTTTTGATCATTGCCATTTACAATGTAGATTGCAAAGGATTTTCTGATCTTCTTGATGAGAGGTTTTTAATCCCCAAGGCATTTTGTAGGGATGCTTGAGACAAATCAGACTGAACACGTTGATGGAGTTGTCCCTTAATTTGTTCAGAGCTCTTGCTGCTGTTGTGGTAACATCTTGCGGGGTCTTATGTGCCGTGTGTTGCAGGCAGCAGCCCTGTTGCAGTGCACCTAAGCTGAGCTGGAGTCCTGTGTGGGATTTGTGTTTCAAGGGCTGCATGAAGGCGGAGCTGGAGTGTCTGCCTTCCCTAACCTTGTTTCAAGATGGCTTGAAACTCACATTCACAAATTATTTGCATCTCCAGGCACCGAAAATTCTTTAAAAATCTGTGGGGTTGGCAGCTTGTGGGGCTAACTGCTGAATGTGGCATTGTTACTCTGGTAATTACTATTTCATATATGCCATCGTTAGATAGTATAGGGTACATACAACTATTTTAAAACGTTATCTGTAAATCCTCAAAACATTAGTCTGCTTTTAAGGAGGTTCTATGGGTACATACATGTACGTTGGTCCAAGGGTATTTATCATTTACATAAGATTCTAAAAAAGGAGGACAAAGGAGCTGAGTGGACAGGCTGTAAACCCATGCACATCTCAGGCCAAGCAGCCGAGATACAGGAATCTGTGGAGAATGAACCACATAACAGGCGTTTCAAAGTGAATTGCACAAATACGACTTTATCTCCAAAACACAGACTGTAAACCCAGGATTTTCAGAGTCAGTTTTTGGAAGGAGGTATGGAACCCCCCTGCAGCACGGAAAATGACAACTGAGAACTCCACGCCACGCACTGCGGGCTGCTGCGGGACCACCCTCACCGAGCTCCGCACCCAGGCAGGCACAGCCGCGTTGCTGCGGGTGCTGCCCCCCGACCCGTGCCCTGCCTCAGGCCCTGCTCCCCCCGCGGGGGCACCCCGCGGCACCCCCGAGGCCAGCGGCGCATTTTTGAATGCCTTTATAAATAGTTTTTTTAACGCTTGCTGTTGTGGGAAAAGCGGCACCGTGTGTGTCCGCGCGTGGCGACCACAAGTGCTTTCTGAACAGGCTGGGCTGCGGGGCCGGCTCCTTTTATCTGCTAGACAGAGTAAAATAAACCAAATTAAACCAATTACAAAGACTTAGCGGGCTTTTAGTTCCAGTAGTGCTGACGACTGTCCGCTTATCTTTGCATAGAAAGGTTTTTGTAGTGGTAATTAGGCGTTACCTTGCCGTTGGGGTCCGCAACAAAAATGGTTTTCCTGCTGTTTTCAAACCTTCGTCATCGCTCACTTCAGATTGCTTTGTCTGCGGCTGTGAAAATGGAAGGAAATTCACGTGATTCCTCTGATTTGTAGCCATCATTTCTACTTTCAAGCGACTTGTGAGACACCTCACAGCCAGCATGCATTTTCCTGGTGGTGTGAGAGGATTGTGGCAATCAGAGAGGTCTCTGCTACTCCTCTGCAGAGCAGCTAGGCGCAAGCTGGCTTTGTGAGGTTTGTTTTCACAATGTAACGTGGTGAAAGCTTGAATGATTTTCTTCCTTTTTGAGGACCTGCAACTTTAATTGTATGTGTTATAAATGAAGTCTCAACTCTGAATTTAGTAACATAAAAGAATACTTACAAAAGGCAAGTAAACAGCGCTGGGTGCGCGGGGAGTCTATGCTCTACCAACACGCACACACACCCATCGAACTTTCCAAATATATATAGGACAAGAAACCCGAGTACGCCTATACACATGGATATCCTATCCCCGCTTCATATTATAGTTCTCTTTGTGGTGGTCGTTGTGGATGAAAGGCTCCCGGTTTCCCCATCACCATGAGCAACCTTTTGTTCCAGACTGCAGGAGCGGCTTCGAGCGTCTCCCTCTTCTTCTGCACATGCTCTGCCCACCACAAGGTTCCCCAAAGCAACAAAACGTGATTGCTTTTCCCGAGTTTCGTTAACCCTTGAAATCACACTAATAATATTATTATCATATAACATTAAACAATAAACGTTAACAGTTCTAACCAGCAACCCCCCCAGCAACTTCCCTGCCTTAACAGAGGGGAAAACAAGCAACCCCCGCCGGCAGGGTGTCACCTCAATCACCCTTCTTTGTTTCCTCTAAACTCTTTACATTCCTGATGACCTCATCGTTAAGAGTCTGATGTTATCACCAACCACGAGGCTTTCCGACCCCCATTGCCACATTCCCAAATCTCCCCCTTCTTTATTAATATCAACCATTTTTCTGACACAAATTACCGCTCCATATATAACATATGGGTGCTTTTATTTCACTGCCCAGAGCTCTCACTGAGGCTGGTAACTTAGTACAGTTCCAAAAGCAGACCAGACATTAATGTGGACAGCCATGAAATGAGACCAGGGGTGTATGAAGGTGATAATGCATCCCGCCTCCAGAGTTGTCCAGCACTGCAGGGCTGGAGGAAGGGCACGCTCCTGCTGCTGTGGAGGTTGCCCCCAGGGCCCAGGTTGGATCTGGCCTGGAAATCACAGGCTCTTCTGAGCAGTGGCTGTGTCGGAAGCCTGGGGCCTGCTTCTCAGCTGGGTGCTGCAGCTGCAGTGCCTGGCAGCTCCTCACCTCCGGGCTTTAGCGCAGAGCTCCCTGTGCTGTGGAGCCCTGCAGCACTGGAGAAGGGAGGGCAGGAGTGACCTGCAGGCAGCGGTTTGCCCCACGGCATCATTTCTATTTTGGCCATGGGTGAGCCCTGCTCCTGCAGACTTGCAGCCTTTAGCTTGCTTTACCCTCACAACCATCCCTGCAAGCTGGCAGGAAGTTCAGACAAAGATGCCAAACCCAGAGTGGGGATGGAAATGCTGCCTGGCTGCCACCTCTCACCTGGACCCATGACCACACTTTCATGCTGTCTCCTGACCTATGATCTAAGTGGGAAAATCCTTCTTGAACTTCTTCATGTTTGTTGCAGTTCTCTGTAGATGGGAAGGCTCAGAGCAGTGCACGCCACTCACACTAACAACTCAAAACTATTCCAATTTTCTTTGTATTCTTGTGCTAATGTTTCATGTACAGAAAGCTAAGTTCTGCACACTGGAGATTATCCATGCAATTGTTTCTCTAAGAGGAGGAGTGGGGAGCCCTGCACTGCCAGGGTGCGGTGGGCACAGACTGCTGCAGATCTGGAGCAGGGAAACCCCAAAGTACACTCATCCTCCTGGAGCCAACACATTTTGAGAGAACAAGAGGGAAGGTTTGCTTTTACTGAGACTGACAAGTCCAGCAAAGACACACAGATGCACAGAAGTGTTCAGAGAGATAGAGTGTCACATCCAAACACAGAGAAAGATGCTGTTAGAGATCTCATTAGCATACTCTGTTTTCCACTAATCAAGTCACTGTGAATAATGTTGCTTATGATTGTATTTGATTGTATCAGTGTTATAGATTTGAAAGGTACATATATTTTTAATCTGCAGAAAGCAGCAGCATTATTACTGAACTATATTTAGAGAATTTTGCAGATAGCATGCTCTGTTCTTTTACTGCTTCATTATAACAACATTTTACATATAGACCCCCAAGGAAAATGAAACGCACCCTACACAGGTGGCTGTTACGTAGGTTTGCATGATGAGCAGGTCTGTTTTCTGAGTCGTAAGTCATTTCACACCTTCCTACTGTCTGCCAAACAGCTAATGGTGATTCCATGCCAGAATACTGCCCCGGCGGATGTTGCTACAACTCCTGGCACTGCAGTAGAAACTTGTGGCCAGACCTAGCCAAAGCCCAGGGCCCCTGGGCAGCCTGTGGCCTCTGGTTGCACCCCTTGCCAGTCCAAAATCGGTGCCCTGTAAGAAATCTGCTGTTTAGATCTGGTTTATGATCCAGACAAAGGGTGAAACACTGGATTGCAATATTAATTGGCCCTGAAGATCTAGTATACTGTGTGTCCAAAAAGAATTTTTATAAAGGCCAATACTCCATTTCTTCTACTGAACATATTAAACTAAATGTGTCCCACATCAGGCAAGTCTTTAACTGAAAAGTGGTGAATACTACCAATGTTAAGGCAAAAACATAGCCTGCTACTTTAGATGTGTAATTAACAGAGCCTGCTGTTTGCAGCGCCATGAACCAGCACAGAAAGTTCGAGCAGGGTGAGGCAGCCTGCCCTCCTGCAGCTCCATACCCTGCTGTGCCATGGCCCCTCTGGGGCTCACCCTGGGGGTGTTGGAAATTCACAGTCCCTCTTCTAGGGGTCACTCAGGACAGGTCAATAATGCAAGGGAGAGGGGAAAAGCAAAATGCCACGATTTTTGGTGTGGTTTCCAGCTGTTTTCTTAGACCCAAACCTCTCCAGACATTTTCAAAGTCAGAAGAAGGACATAAGGGTTTGTGTGCTGCCACCTCCTACAACCCTAAGGAAGATTATGAGAAACTCCTCTCAGTCCAGCCTTTGCCAGGCGTTGTCAGCAATCACTGAGAAATGCTGTCAGTAACCGCACAGAGAACAACCCTGCACTTGTTTTCATATCGCCATCATATCAAATTGCACTTTTGGTTTGGTATTTTTGGATCACTAAAATAAAATTAGGCAGGGTTGAAAAGGAAATACACCCATAATCTACACACTCACTGATGAAGGAAAAGATAACACTCACCTCCATCATGCCGCGACTTCAGTGTTGCTAAATAAAACCCCGTGGTGTTACTATAGTTTAAAGCTTCATAGACAAAATTGCATTTTGTAACTCACACACACCTTGCCTGCACTTACAATATATCAAAATGAGCAGAAGATGTTTTCTGCTCCAGTGATAAAAAGTGATTTATCTGTCAAGCCTGAAGTTATAATTACAGGTGAAAACCGTGTAGATGTGGAAAGTAGATTTCCATGTAACTTTAAACCTCAGCTGTGGTCCTTTGAGGCCACAGAAGTTTTAAGGCCATCATGCAGCACCACTGCAGCCATTAGCAAGATTTATGGGCAGCTGCTCTCTTTCCAAGTGGTTTCCCAGAAAGGGGAGCAAGCTGGGACCTGGCAGCTGACCTGAGTCACTGGGGCACAGCCAGAGCCCTGGGGGGTTCCCAGCAACTGGCACCAGCTCCACGATCTGGGAGAGGAGCTGGGGAGCATCGCTGCAGAGAGCAGGGAGCCCCAGGATCAGGTAAGCTCCCCATCACCCAACACCGTCATTTCTGCTCTGGTGTTCTCCATAGGGGAAACAATTTATTTGGAAAAAAAAAAAAAAAAAAGAACATCAACAAACTCCATCTTTCTTCCCTCATAGCTTCTTTGGGAATTACCTATTCTTTTTGGACCAGAAAAGACTCTTAAAGCATAAAAAGTCACCTCACTGGTAGCATGTGGGAGTGAGTGCTGGCTGCACAGGAGGCATGGGCAGAAGGAGTTACTGGTTTAGGATAAAATGAAGGCACATCTCCAAAGGCAGCTATGGAGCCTCTCTGCCCCTTAGGTGCTCCCTTGTAGTAGCACTCTCCTGCTTTGTGGATGAAGAGGAAACTTGTCAACAAGTGAGATGCTGCCTTGTTCTTCAGCTGAGCATGCACCTGTGCGCACACACACACAGAACTCACATTTTCTCCAGTGAATCCTAAAGAAGAGTTTAGAATAGGATTTTGAGCATAAGCTGTTGTTATGCATGTTGACTTCAACACTTCCAAGGCACATGGAAAGAGTGAGAGGAGATACAGTGTGAAATGGTTCTGTGATGGGTGATGGGATTTACTGGGGAAGAGGTGTTTGTTTTTTTTTTTTGCTTTGCTTGCTATGTTTTTAGAAATACCAGTGACACTGATCCAAACAGGAGCTTTTTATTATCCTTTGGAGATTAAAAGCCTGCAGTCTGGTGTTGTGAATTATCTCATGGGCACTACTAGAACAGGTAAAGGGATTGCTCCTAGTACTTCCACTAGCACCCAGCAGGACAAAAATATTCTGGAGTCAATTATGGATTCAATAACAAGGAATTGCCAACAATTCCATCATCTTCACTCAGGCTCACAAACAGCATCTTTACTGCTTCATCGTGCTGATGCCGGGAGTGGCACTGGCAGCCAGCACACCCTGCTGGTACAGGCTTTGTGTGCTGCCCAGAGGATGTATCGATGGGCACCAAGCTCTGTAGGGTCAGCAGCAAAACACCCATCTTGGGCCCTGAATTAGGCAAACAGATAGCCTGGGCCACCTAACTGTGACTGCCAGTAGCTGTGAAAATATTTGTATGGCAAACAACAGCTGAAGGGAAAAGGAAAAAGAAGCACTAAATGGGCCAGCCTCCATTTCAAGAAAGGTGGCAGAGACAAGCAGGACCAGAACAGTAGAGCACCAGGTCCAGCAATGGTGCCGTCTTCATTCAGTCCATGGTCAGCTGAGGAGCTGGCTTTTACACCACTGACAGACTAAGAAATGACTAAATTCATTCCCACTTATGGCCCATCAAAGAGCTAATAGGACAAACAACCATTGAAGCAGTACACTGTATTAATAGAGTGTGCAAGCCTGCATTAAGTGCTGTTGGTAAAGGACTGCAGACCATGTCCATGGAGTGTTCTGCCTTAATGTGAATTGTGTGTCCCCATAGGCCTTCCCTTGGGCTGCCCTGGGACCCAGAGTTGTACCTAATGGCAACCATGGGCAAAGGAAATACAGTCCGAGTATCTGACAGCCTGATTGCAAGACTCCAGCTGATACTTTTGTGCTGAGTGAATTAAAAAGTTTTACTCTGGTTCCTCCACAGAGAGTAGATAAGAAACCAAAAGACAAATAAGCATGGCCAGAACAGTAAACATTTGCTTTAAGGAGTGGGAACCATGGTTAAGCATCTAGACCATGAAGCTACAGGCTTCCCCAAATTAAATTAATTTAATGGTTTATACATTTGCTCCATAGAGATGTGGGTACTGAAAAGTGCATCTCCAGACAAGTGCAGGAAGATCTGGCAGGTACTCCTGCCTCCCTGCAGAAAGAAGCCCTCTGCAGAGGGGTAGGGAGGAAAGGGCTGCGGGTACCAGTGCCGCATCTGCACTGGGGACAGCTTGGGGGGGCAGGAGAATCACAGAATCACAGAATTGTCT